ATGAGAAACACTGAATGTTGCTGTTCTTCAACTTCCAGGTCCAACTTACCTTGTTTTGAACTTTTAGCTCGAACACTCTGGGGGGGGGGGGGGGGGGGGGGGGGTGAACGCTCCTTGCTCTCTGTGACATGGAACACCTGTCGTACAAACAGGACAGGACAAGACAACCTCAGAAGGATGAGGGCATTAATGTATTTTTAAAGGACCTTGGTTTGTGTGACATGTCAGCAAAAATACACACCAAGGTGTCCTCATACATGTAAATAATAGATGAGGTGGAAAATGTCATGACATGAGGCCAAGCCTAACTACACTACAAGAGTATGTCAACACCCTTACATAGACGACATAGACGATGAGTGAACATCAACATTTAGAAACTAAGACATCTAATTTATACTGCTATATGCTTTAAACAGCTTGCTGACATTTTAACTTGCTCTGTCTAATCTAGTGCAACACTACTTGAAACTACTTCTTCTTTGCCAAAACTGTACTTTCCAGGGGAAGTACAGTGCAACTGTTGTTTGTGAGTAGGAGAGATGTAGTGATTTCCAGGAAAAGAAAATGCATTCTCATCTGGGTGAAACTAATATACTATAAAGACGTGGTATTGGATCAGGACATAGAACTGCATACTCGTCGATGCCCGACTTGGCATTTCCAACAGTATCTCTGGCATCCGTATCGGAAGATCTAATATTTTTACCAAAACACATTTTGTAAAAAAAAGTTTAATTATCAGAACCGTAACAATATTATTTGCTGTATTTAAAGGCCACTGGGAGATTTTGACACCACAACCTTCAAGGTAAAGCTGATTCACCTCGACAGCAACTGAAACAGTGAAGAAATGAAACCAAATGTTCTGCTGTAGTTTGGAATAAAGTCGTTGATTTGCCTTGGAAGCAGAGAGAAAAGTGTTGGGCACAGCTCCTGCAGTCTGGAGAAGACGTCACAGTCACAAGCCTGATTCATCATTCAGCAGACACACACACACACACACACACACACACACACACACACAACAGACACACACGTGCATCATCACAACTGACTGGATGGGTTCTCTGATATCACTTCCAAGCAAAGCTATGGATGTCCTTTTCCTCCAGTCTACACACACCCACACACCCACACACCCTTTGTGTGACCTGTGCCTTGCCTGTCTTATCTATCGCAGCCTGAGGAAATGGATCCAGACCGTCTCTGTCACCCACCTCCCAGCTAAATATAGAACATGCTGGAAAGTGCTCTACACACTGAGACAACCATGGCCACACACAAAGCAGCGGAAAAGTGGTTTGAACTTAAGACTTAGAGAAAGATGTAATGTGACATATCTGGTCTGTGCAACTGGGACCAGCTGCCTGCTGTCACATGCACATGCTAATACTGATGAGCACTGACAAAAACTACACGCACACACACACACAAACATACGCCAACAAACCCCCAAACAAATCCTGAGCTCCTTCGTACATTCATTTGCATCTGGTTGACAGCAACATGCAACAACTTTCCTCTGCAAAAAACAGATTATGAGGAGAAAAAAGTACAGCTGTAAAATCCCACCTTTGTTAGCACACGCCATCCATTTCAGATTATCTGCGAAGGCTGACTCTCGACCAATCAGGTAAGGGAATATGCGGACCTGCGGAGAGAGAGCAGATAGCTTCTGTCAGTCATTTTAATCCCATTTTGACACAGCCCACCACACCACCATATAGAAGATCACACTGCCAGCCAAAAGGCTCGCTCTTTATCTTCCGCTGATAAGCAGGCCCATTCTCTTTGTTTAATAGAGTCAATTAAGAATGAATTAAAGTTTTGCATTATTTTATTGAAAGTTTAAATGAGCTTTTTAAATAAGATATGTGTATCAAGAATCTGTAATTATAATGAATACAGATAATAAATTGTATTTTGATTTGAAAAGGCAAAACTCAACTTCACGTTCTAATCCAGAGAATCTTCTTAGCTCTCTGCTGCCAAACCCATTTTTCATGGCAGTGCTCAGTTAGGCTCTATCAGCAGGTGTAGGGGCAGGTTTGTGTGTGTGTGTGTGTGTGTGTGTGTGTGTGTGTGTGT